GTTTTGATCAGAGCTTTTGGCAGCTGTAACAGTCTGCTGCTTTGTATCCCTCAACCCTCATAATCACCATATTCCTAATTTCCTCAGCCTCTCAAGTAATGGTGGACCAGGGACACTGTGAAGATGTGTTGACATACAGTCTACAGTATTACAGGAACTCAACACAGAAGACCAGCGACTGAAATGTGCACACCCTTACGCTATCTCAAGGTTCACAGGAAGCTGAGGCTGTGCTATCTCTAAACTCTGGTTAGCAGCTTCTCTCCAGGGATGGCTTTCAGTGTATATGGAGAAGGGGAAGGGAAAAGGACGCCATGAGATTTGCATGGACCATATCCTGGCCTCCTGGGCCTGACAAAGAGCAGGAACATCAGAGGTGAAGTTCTGACGCTTGTAAGCAACCCACCTCACCCTCTCCTGGGTCTTCTATTGAAAATAATTCACTTTGGAGCATTATTCATGCATGCTATTCCTTTACTCTGTAACAGTTAAATCAAAACATACTCCAGAGAGGATGATGTTTCCCTCTAATGAGCAGAGGTAGGTCACAATATGGGAGAACCGGAGATGCTAAATTGTTACCATTCTTTTCCAGCACCACCACCCCCCCAAATGCCGGTATTAGTCTTTCAAAGTGCTCCGTGTGCGCAGACACACATGCAAAGACAAAGTACGTGTCAAAATCCAGAAGTGAGTGGAGGGAAAATGAAACAAGGTGTGGAGTTACAGAGGAGAAGTAACAATACTGTAAACCTCTGGAATTAATAATTGTGGTGAGGTGTGTGTAACTGTTTAACATGTCTGCAGGCATGATTGTTCCAAGCACAAGAGACCTTTGTCTTTTCTCCTTACAGTTCCTCTTTCCTCTTTTCATCAGCTCCTGTCTTTGTACATGTAAACCTCTGATGCAAATCAAATCACGTTCACTGAGTTAAACATTTGGATTTGGTTTTAATACTGCAGGTAATTCATCTAGTTAATATGAAGAGGTGTAGCAGCAGATGAATAAGCGTGTAGTTGATATCATATCAAATGTACAGTGTAAAACCATCTACAATAAACTACGCTGTCTCATTCAAATGGCTCGTTTTGGAAAGTAACGGGAAAGACTTCAGAGTCGGGCTTGATCGAGATCCTAGAAAAAGTCATAGTGTAGGGGCGACACACATACAGTTACTGCAGAAACACTGAGCTTCTATAGGAATATTCTCAGAAATATCCTGAGTGCAGTAAAGTACCTGCATAAAGCCAGGCTGAATTCACTATTCACACTCCTTCAATTTATTAGTGGTGTGTTTTTCGGTGTAATTTTTGTTTTTTTATTAGAGAATATTTTCCTCCTTGTAAACACTGGACCTTGTAAATCATACATACTGGAGATCGCCTGAACAAAATGGCTGCTTAGTGCCCCTGAGCCGGCAGGGACTGAGAAGCTTTCTTTAGGTTCTGCAATTCATTTTCGGTTATAAGTGACTTGCTTAAACGTATGCTCTGTGATTTTGCTTCAGTGTCGAATCCTTTAAAGCACTTAGGGAAAGTGAGGAGGAGAAAATACTGACGGAAAGGGACGAAGGACATTTACTCAAGGACTCAGTATGGATACTACAGTGGGTACTGCAGCAAGTGTTTTAATTACAACACGCTGTTAAAGATTAAAAACTTGTCTCGTTTTTTTTTTTTGTGCAAAATTTTTAGCTTCTGACGTCTCACTTAAAGCAGTGTGTAATCAGGCTTGCTTTTGAGATGCCTGAGTTGTGAACGGCTCCACCAAACAG